CCAAGCGCGCCAGTGCTCCAATGGAGACGAGGTCGAGTGCAAGAAAACGTTCAGGCACAAGCTCTACAAGCGAACAAAAAAGTAAACGAAAAAAGTTATCATCGATGTCAGAGCAAGAGAAAAATGATTTAGGTAAAGCTCAATCCCGCCCGTCGATCATATTTCAAATTCAATCAGTCAAACTGCCGAAAGGCCGAGATCTTTCAATTGGGGCATATCGAACCAATGGGATAAATCAAATACAAAATTCAATTTATAAAAGGCACTGTTATTAATCAGGCGCGTTATACACGTATGTACTCTATTTCCAGAGAAATTTCTTCTCACCATTGGTACTAAGATAGGTAAAGATTACTTTGCTCTTGGTACTCATCTTAACCTCAGGACAAGTGTAATTGAAAACATCAAAAGTAGCTCACCCCATGATGCCGAACGATGGGGATGTGAGATAATAACAAAATGGAAACAAAAACAACCAAACAGATTGCCATTGCTAGCTAAAGCTCTCAGAGAGATAGACAGAGTTGATCTTGCAGAAGAGGTGGATAAATATGTTAAAAGCCATCCCTTTTTCCAGTCAGAAGATAATGTTGGGCTATCTGAACAAACTGAGGGTGAAGAATTTCAAGGTAAAGCAGTTGTCATCATCTTGTTCAATCAAATATTGTAATTCTAGAAGTAGATATGAAATGTCAGGTATCAGAACGGGTGGGGCGGGGTTGGGCAGATTTTTTAAAGTCACATGACCATGACATGACCATGACATCATCCGGGGGATGATGTCATGATGTCATGGATGTGTATGAATATGAATCATAATGAAATGACAAGTTGAAGCATGTTCTACAATGGAATTTAAGATGGTATAGCCCACTAATGAGATATAATCAGCTATCATAACAACATAAAGGGATTCCTCATAATATGTTCTTCAATATTCTATATTTCATCATATATGATAGTAATGACTAATAGTTAGTAGATTATGTGATTATATTATATCTTATCATATTTATTATCTAACTTGATGATGTGTATATTCTTTAATGTTCTATATTTCATCATACATGATAGCAGTGACTAATGACTGTTTTACAAACGTTAGCAGATGATTATATTATATCTTGGTTTTTAGATTATAATATTCCCATGAGATAAAGATGAGCAGGAGATATAGATGAGCAGGAGATAAATTAATTGGATGGGGCATGACATCATTGTTATCTTAAATGGGTGAGAAATGTAGGACTGAATTTTAAAATGGAAGCATAACAAATCAATAACACAATATTTTTGTTTGATATATACATTATATTCAATCTTCAATTTATTTTACAATTTTCTTTACAATTGATGTAATATTAACATTTTTAAGGTAGAAATGATAGATTCTACTACAAAATCCATTTTATAAGACACACTGAAAGTGTTTACAATTTCATCTAAACTATACCCTAAAGTTCTCAGTAATATATACATGATACAATATTGTCCACAACTTGAACTGTTCAAACCTTGAACACGAATGGGATTTACAAACATTGCATCTCCATATTTTTTTAATCCATAAAATGTTTCTGTATGACCTAAGGGGTCAAAAAATTCAATTTGTGAATCTCTATAATAACATACCCAATGTTGCCCCATTTCATAGTGAGGTCTAGTATTTGCTATAAAACATTTTTTATCCATGATAATAGATGGTAATTGATCACTTGCAAATACTCCTAGAAATCTATGCTTAGTATCTGGATGATTTGATAAAATAAAACTTATATCTTGTGAATTCATATTAGTACTGAATAATATTGCGGGATGCGTCGACCTCAAATTTTCCCGGAAATGTTGCCATTAAAATAATGTTTAATGATTCAGGTGTTGCCTCAGCAAAATGAATGTCAAGTTTTACATTACCCTTTTTAAACAATGGAAGAATTTCACCATCTGAATATGTGTTTTTATAGCCTATATCAAACTTAAAGATACAAAATCCTGATTTGAAACTGTCCATGCTTATATTTAACCCATCACTATCAGGTCCAAGATCTGAAAACAGTTGTGTAAACTCATGAACATATTTATCTTCTGAATCATTTGACCCAAACTTAGGTTGAAATGCTCTAAATGGAGTAGGAACATTATCTACTGAAATTTCAACATATGAAGTGTTTGCATGAATGAAATTGTATGGATTAAGTTTATAGTTTCCTTGATATGCTGCATTTTTCACAATGACACAATACAATCGTGTAGGTACACGTCCTTGAAATAAATCATCTTGATTAAAAGAATATATATTACTGGGTAATGAGAGTACTTTCATTTCATTTCTATCATAAGTATATACAGCATTTCTCTCCTGTAATTCAGTATTATATGCTTGTAAAATACCATTTGAAACTGTAATCATTGGAACTTCTAAATGTACATCTAAAAGTTTGACTTTATATTGTTCATTTGAATCAGTCATAAGTCTAAAACTGTTTTTTGTATGATTTAGTTTTATCTTCACTTCAACACCATTAATGAGGTATTTGTTGATGCTGAAGATATCTTCATGGAATTTACATTCCATATCAACTACTTTTCCACCTTGAGTTTTCACAAATCTTTGTGTAAGTCCTAAGTTGGTAGAACCTTGTCCAAGAGGTTTTGTTGCTTCCATTCCATTAGGTGAATATGTTTCATTGTCCATATAAAACAAACATGCCGTACCTTCAGATTCTAATTTTCCTTTACTAGATGTTAACAATGTTTTCAACATACTTTTATAAGGATAGTTTAAGACAGATGATGCCGTGTTATTTTGTTGTAATGATATCTCAACCTCACTCCATAAAGAATGAATCCAATTATTTATTGGTCCATATGAATCATAATCTGTCACATCCCCATATTTTGGTAATGAATTATCTGCTTTCAATACCTGTGCTTTGACATATAGCTTTACATTTTGAAGATCTATAAACTGTGAAGTGTTGTTTGGTAAGATGAACTCTATTGGAGACTCATTGTCTATTGGATTGATAGGTCTGTACTCAACATAGTTCCTTCTAACAACACTACTTTCTGTTGGAGGTGTGTTAAATAATTGTAGTTGCCTATTCATTACATCTGCACTATTCATGAGTTTATATGCCATTTTTAATTATTTGAGTTGAATTTACTTTTTTCTTTTCTGTGATGTCTTTGTTGACCTACGTTTGTATTCCTTTGGAGATTTCTTATTGACTGAAGACTTACTATTGCGTTTGCTTTTATATACACGTTTTTTCTTTCTAATTGTATCACGTGACTCGTTTGACTCATGTGACTCGTTTGAGTGCTGTCTTTTAAGTGTAGCTTTTGCTCTCTCAACGACAGCTTGCATTGGAGATATTATTTGTTTCGGTTCATCTTTAATATCATCTTCACTTATCCAACCTCTTCCTGTTTGAGATACTTTCAATCTATTCTGTCTACCAGCTCTAATAAGTTTCAACCAGTGTTCTGGTCTGTCTACATATGGTACTAATTTCATGATACTTGTTTCAAATGAAGTGTACACGTCAAAGGTTTGTCTTTAAATGACACATGTGTGTTACCATTTCCTCTTATATAGACATGTATGCGATCAAACTCCCAATTCCCAACATCCTTGTATAATACTTGATTAAAACTCAACCAAGAATAATCCTTTGGAATACGTCTTAAGATTGGTTGTACATTTCCATCAACAACACTTTCTATGCATAAATCACAAAACACATCTAAATACAATAATGCATCATTTGAATCCAATGGTGGTAACTGTATGTCAACAAGTCCTATTTTCCATTTTCCTTTAAGATAAAAGTATCTTGGTAACTTTACAGTAAACTCTGATGCTGTATTATTGGGATAAATATTGGTTGAATCAGTGCTACTCAAATAAAAATAGATGTCTTTATCCATTGTTTAAACTGATGCACTAAAGTCTGTGTCACTATTTGATTTTTGTATTATCTCATATAACTTTGCAAACTCTGTTATATTATGATACTTCTGCTTTTGCTTCCTCAGATAATAAAACATCAATATCATAAATGAAACACTTGTAGATCCAATTGCTAAATTACTAATTGATATTTCTTCAATTGTTAATATATTTGAAGGTGTTGAAGCACTTATTCATGCTAATGATGTTGTATTTTCTTCTGCAAAGAGCACTTTAAAATATATACTAATATACAGTAGAACCTCACACTTTGATACTTCATTGCTAAATAACAAAAATAAGATGTACTCCAACATTTATATAAATATCAACATAACATAAAATAATGTTTTTCTATTTATTTTAAGCATAATATGCAATATTTACAAGGTTTTGATATCAATAGCTTTAACCCAAGAATCAAATTTCTTAGGCCAATATTTCCAATGTACCAAGTATTCTTTTTGACCTTGTTTTGTGCGTTGTTTTAAAACTTTTTCTATTTTATATAGATTGTCTTCATCAATATGCACACGTTGAAGCTCAGGTTGATAAAATGTTCCTTTAATCTCATCACCTTCAAAATCTTTCAAGCGATATAGAGGTAGACCTTGTCTGATGAATCGAGCAGCTATTTTGAAAATCTCTCCAGTCCAATGTTGATCATATTCTCTGGTAAAAACATGCCTTGCTTGTGTAATTCTAACCTGAGCTCCAATAGGGAATTTGAAAATTTGCTTGGATTTGGTTTGACTTTTTATTATTGATTTAGGATAATACATACGCCACCAAATATTAAGCTCATCATCTTTAGAGACATCTCGAGGTGCTTTTTAATACTACTATGATGTGTAGCATTATAGCTTTTGACAAAGTCCTGTAAATTATCAATATATCTAAGATTTTGTTTATATGTGATGTATCTCATTATTTTCGTCTTCAATGTCTTAATAAAACGTTCAGAGTAATTTGCCTTGGGAGTATTACGCGTAACAAAATGACGCACTCCCCATCTGCGTAACAATGTCTGTACACGTTTTGCACGGAATTCTTGACCAGCATCACTACGTGTTACATCTGGTACTCTCCCTTCTTTAAAAATATCATCAAATGCATCTGCTACAGTTTGTCCAGTTTTATTGTGTAAAGGTCTGACCCATGCAAACCGGGACATGATATCAGTAACAACTAAAATAAAACGTATCCCATCATTCTCTGATGACATATTAGAGACATCCATTAAATCAGCATCCCATTGTTGATCAATGTAAGACACATACACTTTGTGACGCCGAAACCGTCTTCTATATGGTCTTTGTAGACTATACGCTTCCTGACTATCCAACCATTTTTTGACTTGATAGTATGATACATCAAATCCAGCTTTTTGTAAAGTTCTCTGTAATTTTTTAGGTCCACTAAAACTTGCTGGTTTAGAAGTATCATAATAATTCTTTTTTACATATTCTTTCCAAGACATCTTTCCTCATAGACGAATATTTGAATAATAACTTATGTGTTGAAAGGATACATATATATTAAAATATCAACTGCTACTTCTAGAATTGCTTTCATATTGATTATACTATTGTTCTTGATCAGTTGATTCTTCATTTGAATTGTCTTCATCATCCGTATCTATAAATAGCTCATTAAACTTATGTTCATTTTTACAAGTATCTTTCGGATTGCAAGATCTCTAGACACACCTCTCATTAACATATCATTTACTTCATCTATAATATTTCTGTGTAATGCATTGTCTGCTAAACCAATTACTTGTTTTAAGACCTTCTTATAGTGCTTCATGAATATTTCCTTATCCTTTTGAACAAGTTTCTTCTCAGCCTTTTCTATAGCCTCCTTTTCATTGCTTCCTCTATCTATATACTCCTTTACTTTATGATCATAATCCTTTTCATTATCATTTCTAGCCATGTTCTTTAAATATACAAATGTTTCATTTGATCTGAGATCATCATCTTCTTCTTTATTTGTTTGTGTGTTGTTTTCAATCTTCATTTTCTTGGATATTTGACCTTGACACCAATTTTTAACATGATGTTGTAAATCATGAATACTCTCAAAGACTAAACCACAGTCATCACATGAGACCATATCGTCACATCCACAATGAGAGGAATAAGGTGACGTTCCATTTTTCATATCATACATAATTGTATCCTTTGCATTTAATTGAGGTGTTTCTGATACCACATGATTAGGTATATTTCCATTACTTTCAACTTGTTGTGATTGTATTCCTCTGTTCAGACTTTGTTTTGATAATGGTTTTTGAAGCATTATATTTGAAGTTGTGGAAGGATTATACAATCTCATACTTTCAGGAGTTTCTTGCTTGAGGTCTACTAATAAGTAGCTGAAAGGTTGATGTGTAGCCTTTTCATATGCATCCAATAACTTGTGAGACTTCCCCGGGTACATTTGATGAGCCAAAACAGATATTTGTTGCCTATCTCTTGGGTTCTTATACAACACAATGTAGTGGGAATTTAAACTCAGAGTCCGACTTTCTCTACCACATGGGAACAAATTCTGCATCAAACAAATGACACTTAAATTTCTATGATGTGATCCACGTGTATACAAATCAGCAATCCTTGTATCTTTTGTTATATCACCCATTAAATCATCAAAGATCACCAAGTTCCTCTGATTCACATCTAAAAAATCTGGGTTACTCAATTCGTCTGGTATTCCCATCATGAATTCAATATTTGAATTGACTGTTTTGATGTTGTCATAAAGAGGTTGCCATTGACTGTAACACCATATGATACGCTGCGGTGTTGGGGATATTCTAGTATCAGCATGGTCAATCAATTCTTTTACATATGTAGATTTTCCAGAACCTGTCGGTCCAACCACCATCATAGTAAATGGATGGTAGAGCACTTTTGAATCTGTTGACGTCATAGTTGGAATTGTTGAATAAATTCCCATGTCATGTTGTATATTAGGTGACTTTATGATACTTTTCTGCAATGCATGGTCTATTCTTTTGTGGCGATACATACTGGTTGCATGACTAAATGTCTTTCCACACTCACAAGAATAAGAAGAAATTTTAGACATGTTGACTCGTCTAATGATAACAGTTAAATGATAGTATGTTTGAAGTATCCTTGTTAAATAATGAAACCATGATTTAAATTTAGATGAATGTTGATGTAATACATAAGAGAATATTTAGTGAACATTTGTGAACATCAGTGAACAATACTAGTGAACATCAGTGAACATTTGTGAACAATACTAGTGAACATCAGTGAACATTTGTGAACAATACTAGTGAACATCAGTGAACATTTGTGAACATCAGTGAACATTTGTGAACAATACAAGTGAACATCAGTGAACATCAGTGAACATTTGTGAACAATACAAGTGAACATCAGTGAACATTTGTGAACAATACTAGTGAACATCAGTGAACATTTGTGAACAATACTAGTGGACATCAGTGAACATTTGTGAACATCAGTGAACATTTGTGAACAATACAAGTGAACATCAGTGAACATCAGTGAACATTTGTGAACAATACTAGTGAACATCAGTGAACATTTGTGAACATCAGTGAACATTTGTGAACAATACTGGTGAACATCAGTGAACATTTGTGAACAATACAAGTGAACATCAGTGAACATTTGTGAACAATACTAGTGAACATCAGTGAACATTTGTGAACATCAGTGAACATTTGTGAACAATACTAGTGAACATCAGTGAACATTTGTGAACATCAGTGAACATTTGTGAACAATACTAGTGAACATCAGTGAACAATACTAGTTGATCTGCATTATATATTTATTGACATGCATGATAATTTAAGTATTCGACCATGTCACAATGCTAAATTCTCTCAATTTCTACTAAATTATTTACCCTCTATTTCTATGAAATTATTTACATAAAATTTAAATTTTAAATATTTATTTTTTTAATTTTGTAATGTCCATGTGCTAGAGAAGTAATACCATCTTCGAGGACAAACCTCTTGTCATCATACGGATTAAGTGAAATCTTGTTTATTTCAAGTGTAAACAATTCATGATTCAATGATCTAATTTGTTTCATTGAATGTATGTTCAATTCATGATTTAGTCATACCTGCCAACCTACCGTATTTTTACGGGAATCTACCGTAAATTTTTCGTTTTTCCGTAAAAAAATGACAAACTTCCGTAAAAAAATACCATATTTTTCCCGTAAAAACGCCCGTAAAAAATTTACCGTATTTTTTTCGAAATCGACCGTAAATTTATTTTTTAAAAACTCGTTTCTTCCATGAGAACGGCCGTAAAATCTACCGTAAATTTTTAAAAATCTACCGTAAATTTTCGAAAATCTACCGTATTTCTGCTAAAATCAACAGTATTTTTGTTCAAACTACCGTAAAATTTCCCGTTATTATTTGGAAATGCTGAAAAATTGAAGTCTTCCTGAACTGTCCCTGTAATATTCCTTCAGCAACCCGAATATAAATAGGTATCGACAGGTCTGTGGTTATCAGGTTATTGCGCATTTATCTAAGTACGCTGGCGTATAATCAGTCCAAACACCAACTACCACAAGAAAGAATTCTTTCTGACATGATTTTTGTAGTTAACCAAACCCTTTTGTACACAGATCTTTATTCCGAATGCAACAAAAATATGATTTTAGTTGCGCTTTATCTAAATAAATGAGTGGAAATGACAAAAACTACTTGCTTTACCGTATGAAATATGCGTAGTTTGGTTTATGATCAGTACTGAACGCCACATCCACATTATACATAGTTTAATCAATTTGTTTTCAGTACGATAAAATGTTGTATTTTTCATCTGAACACATTATATCAGTAACAAATACATAATATATACCAACCAGCATGAGGATTATGGAATTTTTTCTGCATCTTTATTCTATTTTCACACTTTTGGATTTGATTACAACCATTCGATATTCCACTCTATTAAAATGGTTCGAAACACGTAATAAATTCGTTTGTTTTTACACATTTATATTTGATTTATGTAACTATATATGCGATAAATATATGCGGTTCATGTTATTCAGTGTTTGGTAAAATGTCACATATTTAAGTCACGAACAAAGACGGTTGACACATAATATATTTAGAACACACATCAAATACAAATATACTTTAGAACCAAACAATGTTCATTTACCGAACATTTACCAAATAGCACGGACATATAGTGACTTACCCCACATAATTAATGACATATTGCACATAAAATCATGTGGGGTAGGTCAAATTCTTCCACAAAACTAGTTATTTTAAAATCTATCGCAAAAACTACCGCATTTTTTCCAAATTTACCGAAAAGTACCGCATTTTTGGCAAATCTTCAGCAAAAGTACAGGTTTTTCAAAAAATTACCGTAAAAACTACCGCATTTTTGGCAAATCTTCCGCAAAAGTACCGGTTTTTCAAAAAATTACCGTAAAAACTACCGCAATTTTCAAAATCTACCGTAAAACTACCGCGTTTTTCCGAATCTTCCGCAAAACTACCGCTTTTTCAAAAAACTACCGTGAAAACTACCGCATTTTTTCAAAATCTACCGTAAAACTACCGCATTTTTTCAAAATCTTTCGCAAAACTACCGGTTTTTCAAAAAACTACCGTAAAAACTACTGCATTTTTTAAAATCTACCGTAAAACTACCGCATTTTTTCTAAGTTTTCCGCAAAACTACCGCTTTTTTCAAATTTCTACAGTAAAATTACATTTTTTTCAAAAATCTACCCCAAACCTCTGAAACTACAGTATTTTTTTAAATCTACCGCAAAAACTACCGTGTATTTTATAAATCTACCGCAAAAACTACCGTTTTTTAAAAAATCTACCGCAAAAACTACCGTTTTTTTTAAACTCTACCGTAAAAACTACCGCAATTTTTTTGAAATATACCGCAAAAACTACCGTATTTTGAAAAAATCTACCGCAAAAATACAGCAATTTTAAAAAAATCTACCGCAAAATTTTGGTCTTAGGTTGGCAGGTATGTTAGTACTGCATTGCGATAGTCATCATGTGTTATTTGGTTTTTAATGACAGCTTTATTCACTCCTTTAGCAGTTTTCTTTGCTTCATTTTGTACTAATAAGGAGTACATTTTAGGTTTCAATCCTACGAATTCAGATGGACAAATTCCTATTGTTTCATCTTTAAACTTCCCAATGACTTTTTTGTTTGAAGTTGAATATAACATGTGATCTTTAGGAAAGTCTGATGTGTCATACAGATCCATGTTTTCAGCCATATCCTTGTAAATATTCTCTGTTTGTATAAGATAACATAGGGAATCTGTATCAGTAAACAACAACGTGGACTTGTCACCGTATTTAGGTAAGATATGTTCGTAATGATACTCATACATCAATGTTTTACTGAGATCCAAAATTGCAAACCCACAATAAATGGGTCGATTGAGATACAATTTAATCTTTCTCAATTCTACTGCCGCTAAATCTTCATTAAAGATTTTAAATCCATAAAATGATGGTTTACAAGCGAGTTTTTGCAATCTTGCTTTTTTGTGTATCAACTCAATCAGACGTCGATTTCTTAAGTTTTCACAGGATTTCCCGAACATAGAGTTGTTCATGAGTTTAAAAAAGTCTTTCTCAAATGCATTTTTAGCCAGCATCCTTCTTTGAGTATTCAAATCAATGTAAGGTTTGAGCCATGGTGATTGCTTAAATGTGAGAATTCTATGGATTTTTTTCAAAACTAACCCATGGTTCATATATTGTTGAAGATTCCTGTAATGTAAAACGTAATTTGTCTTATCATTGAGATTGGGAACTAATTTCTTTAATTTACATTCACCTAATTCCAACTCTTCCAATAATCGTTTGCAGAATGGTGATGTCATGTTTTCATTAATTTGTATAGATTCAGGTGCTAAAGGATAATCTGAATGTGTGTCATGTAATTCACATGGATACTCTAGATCAACTTCCAGTATATATCCATCATCAGAATTTTCAGATATACCATCAACATTGAATGATGCTATTGCATTTTCATCCATCCATTTGAAACCATGGGTTGGGAGGGGTTTACTCATAGCCCACCCATATAAATTATTCGCATCTATATATGTAATATAAGATGTTGGTTTCGTTTGATCATAATCTGTAAGATATTCATTGTTTGCCTTCGCATACCTATGTGATATCATTGAAATACCTCCCCTAAGACCGGATTCTATGAAGAGATGCATGTCAGGATCTGTAAATAACTCAAGTTTCACACCCGTATATTTCAATGCTGCTATCCAACTAAGTCCAGGAGCCGTGTAAAAGTGTGCAGGGTCTAATTCATACATTTCTATCGCTAAGTCTCTAAATGATTCAAACACATCACTGAGAAGGAGCGTGTCTGTCATTAAATACAAGTCGTGATATTCTTTGAATGTTGACATGTTGAATGTATTCCAAACTGTATTTGCATGAGCATAGTCATTATCTGATAATTCTTCACCAGTAAGATCATTGAAAAAGTCACATTTGGGAGGTAACTGAGTGTCACTTAATTTTTCAGTTTGATCAAACCAACTGTATGGAAACACACCCTTTCTCATCAAAAGCGCAAGTTCTTCTTCATTTTTAAATTCACTCATTAAATGTTTAAATTTTTCTTTGCCTTCATTAGCCAGATTTCCCACCAGTTTGTCCAATGAGGTACTCATAAATTGGAAACTGTCTATGAAATCCATAGATCCCATGGAAAAAGATATGTATCTCTCCATATTAGTTGGGATCACTTTTAGTTTATTGTGTTGACATTGTCCTATGCTTTGCATAATATGATGTGCATCATAATTTTTCAAATTGTGAAATACAACAGGTATTCGATCCCGAAATCTAAAGTTCACATTGCATGCATTGTGTGCTGCTCCTCTGAAGTACCCCGTCACATGATCATGGTCACGAACCCTGTCTTCCCCAAGGACTTCTTTACAGATATGACAATGTGTTGCATTTTCAAATTTTTCACGATCTCCAGAACGCATTTTTAAAGGTTTCTGCTTATGTTTGTACCACAAATCAATGTCATCTTGAACCTTAACCATGTGTTCAATGAAGGTATCCGTCACATTCTGTCCAGTGTATACAACAGCAGGTTTAGTTAGGTCTTCAGTAGGTCTGACTACTTTATAACAGAAACCTGATGGAATATGTTTAGTCATTTTCTGTGTATAAGACTTATGGGGATTTGGTTGACAGCCAGAAACTTTATCACAAACACTCTCAAAATCAGCATACACTATCCATGGAACCTTTAATTGTTTTTCCACTTGCTTAAAGTGTAGCCATTTATCTTTTTCTGAGGGTAATTCAATTTTCTGAGGTCCATGAATTTGACAATAGTTGATATGTTTGTCTAATAGTGTAGCCTTTGTAAATCCATGTAAACAATAAGGACAAAAATAATTTTTGCGTCCACTGGGTCCAGTGTGATACAACAGTCTATTGAGATATTTGATCCAACAATAATGACTTCGCTTCTTGTTTGATAGCAACATCAAGTTCACATGTTTGTCTGTTCTTTTCTTAGTGATGTGTATGGGGAAAACCTCTTTCTCATACCCAAACAAGTTGACCGAAATGTCATTGTTGCTCTCAAATTTTGTGATATCATCAGGTTTCACCGGATGTTTGATCCCCTCCATATTGAGTTCATTAATATATGGTGTGTAGTTGTGTACTCGATGAGGATTTGTTTTCTGAGGATGCAATGCTGAAAGCACTGCCCATAGAAAACATTTTTTGTCCTTATTTTGAACATTGATAATAGCTCGTTTAGCCCTCAGTTTTAAAGGGGTAGGGATATAACTACTCCCCTTAATTGGTTTCCATTTGATAATATGTAGTTTCAGCTCAATGACGTAATCGAGTATCCATGAACTGCCCTCACGCTGATAGGAAATGAAAGCATCATACGTTTTTTTCACACTTTCCTTAAATGCATCATCTAAATCTACATTTTTCATTGCTGTTTGACAATGACCTCTGAAATGAGGCCATGACAACTCAGTCTCTTCTTTTTTCTGTTTTTTGAACTGGACTTGCATTGATAAGTACCATTTAATACTACCAAATTTCTTGATTTGTTTTGACAAAAGATGTTTCACTTTCTCTTCATTTCTTTTAAAAAAGTATAAGGGATCAAATTTTGATTGTCCATATGCTTTAATTGTTTTTACAACTAATGTTCCTTGTATTGCTTGCTCTTCAAAATCACATTCTAATTGATCATTATCGTCTACTGCATTTTCTTGTGTTGCATCAACATCATTGACTTGTATAGGTTCCTCTGTTGTATTATTTTCTATGTTCAATGATTCATCATCTTGCATAGGTTCCTCTGTTGCGTAATATCTCTGTTTAATGATTCATCATCTTGCATAGGTTCCTCTGTTGTATTATTTTCTCTGTTCAATGATTCATCAGTATCATCAGATGTTCCAGGACCCGCACCGACTTGAAAATGTCGTATCCTATGTTCATTAAGTTTATCTTTCCTATGAAATAATTTTGCACATATGTCACATGCATGATTTGGATCATTGTGTATCTTTTTATGTCTTTGTAGACTTTGATTTTGATGGAAAACTTTTTGACAAATATCACATTCATAGCGTTGAATTTGATGTCCATGAACCAATCTTTGATGTCTCATTAATCCTCTTTTGTGTTGATATATTTTACCACAATCACAATTGTATGTTGTTTTCATTGTAGACATGTTGTTGTTTATTTGTTTGCTGTTGTTTTCATGAATGGTGGTGTATCAACTTTTGAATGATTTTTATAGGGTAAAAATTATGCCATGTGCTATTTTTAGAACGTGATGTCATGCTATTTTTAGAAACTGATCTTAGATGTCATGTCTTCTGGAAAATTCTAGAAAATGATGTCATATGCTATATTTAGAACATGATGTCATATGCTATATTTAGAACATGATGTCAATACTATTTTTAGAACATGATGTCAATACTATTTTTAGAAACAGATCTTATAAGATGATGGTGTCATGCGATCTAGATAGTTCTAGAAAGGGGGATTAACAATATAAACAAAATATATTCTAGAACATTAAGGATTAACATAATGATGCAATTAACATTGGTTTGAATACAAGCGTCACTCTACTACTGTTAAAATAAAAACAAGTATATTAGTCAGAGTAATCCAATATAAGCCTTATCACCTATACAAATATTTAATCCAAAGTCCAATATCTATATCATATAACTTTTCATTGAACAGTGCTATTTTGTTTGACCAGCTCAATTTACTACAATAGGATTATTTAATCACAACTGAAGTTCAATAGCTTTTATATTTATACAGAGTATTGGTCAGTCAAATAATAATCGCTAGGAATTTGGACCAGACTTTTAAAATGTACATGTACATTGTATACGGCTATACATCTCAATATGTCACTTTTGGATATAATATGAATATTGGAGTGACTTTGATTGAATCAAACTTCAGGGTGAGTAAACAATACAGTACATTTTATCTCTCAATAAACACATATCTTCAAACAACTGATAATTCAAGACTTGTTGTACAGTGTGAAATATGTTTAGGTTTTCATTCATTTATGTTGGTCTAAAAATAAATACTGCACCATGGAACCTTTTAGAATAATGACCCATCACTGTACCTAATAGAAACTATACTAGAACTTAGAATATTAGAATATTATAATCTAAAAACCAAGATATAATATAATCATCTGCTAACGTTTGTAAAACAGTCATTAGTCACTGCTATCATGTATGATGAAATATAGAACATTAAAGAATATACACATCATCAAGTTAGATAATAAAAATGATAAGATATAATATAATCACATAATCTACTAACTATTAGTCATTACTATCATATATGATGAAATATAGAATATTGAAGAACATATTATGAGGAATCCCTTTATGTTGTTATGATAGCTGATTATATCTCATTAGTGGGCTATACCATCTTAAATTCCATTGTAGAACATGCTTCAACTTGTCATTTCATTATGATTCATATTCATACACATCCATGACATCATGACATCATCCCCCGGATGATGTCATGGTCATGTCATGGTCATGTGACTTTAAAAAATCTGCCCAACCCCGCCCCACCCGTTCTGATACCTGACATTTCATATCTACTTCTAGACCATATTTAAGCCATTGCTTTGCATCTCTTTTTTAATGCCTTACAGGTCCGATATCAAACATAACGAACAATGTGGTCGATATGATCGAAACGGCTGATTTCGAAATATTATTGCAGCGCATGGAGAAGCACAAATTTGCAATCATAACAGGTATTGTAAAAAAGGTGGATTGTGAGCTAGGTAGTCTTAAACATGAACATATTTTTTAGAAGAGCTTCTCGCTTCTGAGTGTAGTGTCTTCCATAACCTTTAAAGCCATCGCTTAGTGTTCGTTACAGGTCGTGTAAACCCGTGCTGGTTTTATTGCAAATATCATATTGTTTTTTGCATGCTGGTGGCGTTATGCCTTTAAAAGTAGATCTCACACCTCAGAAGCGTGTTGGCTCAAAATTACATTTTAACATACCGTGCGACTATTCATTAAGCAATTTGTTAGTAAAAGTTCCTCATGAAAAAAATCTTGAAGATGTGTTGAACTTTTTTGAAGAAATTGTACAATTTCCCTCCACTCATTTTGTACATTTTACAGCCATATGAAATAATAGGGAGTTTAAGCTTGTAATGTTTTTCACAACCTAGACATGAACAGAGAATATTTAAGCGATGCATTTGTATGGGCGATTGGTCATACGTATAGGTTGGCATTTAAATTTTATACGCAAGCTTAAACTCCCTATTAATACGATTTCACTTAAGAATCACACAAAAGAGATACGAGTCTCGTCAAATAGGAAGGTTAAAACTTCATATTGTAGGTATGTCTGGCATTGGTAAAACGGAGATGGCAAAGTTGTATTGGCATTTGAAGAAGGATGGTTATAATGTTGGATGGAATATAAAAAGTAACACTGACCGGGACTTAAAAATCGCAGCTACTGGTTTTATCGAAAAATTAGACTCGATGGAAATCAAGGTTGGTAATTCACAAGATGGTTCTCTATCAAACCTCTTACAAAATATACGTTCAGAAATAAGTAAAGAATGTCGAGATAGGAAACGATGGAACTATCTGTTGATATTCGATGATGCCGGAGCTGAAACAAAAAGTGCTATAGAAGAAAGTTTCAATCCGTCGACCCCCGGGCCATCGACAAGTAATATATCCGTTATTCTGACAACCCAGCAAAGTTTTAATCAGTTGCAAAATAAAACTGTAAATCTAGGAGGATTATCTGAAAAGGAAGTCCTCAAATTTTGGGGTATTATTGAGGATGGTGAAAACGAAAAAAATATACTTGAGTTATGGGAAGAAATGAGTCATCTCCCAAGTGCTCTCAAATGCGCTAAACATTACATTAAAAGCAAGAAACGCTCCATTGAGGTTTATCTTAAGGGGATCAAAGATAAAACACAGTACAAAGCTATGGAAACGCGGGACGCCCAAATTCTTGGTATCAGTTATGATAAAACTCCAGTTTGCGCACACGTTGAGTATGCTAAAGCAATGATAGAAGAAATTTCGGATAAACCTGTTCGCTTTGTTCTGAAAACGATGGGTTTCCTTGATTCAAAAGCTATTCCAGAGTTTCTATTGAGGGAAATTCTGAGACAAGCGCACATCGAAGATCGCAAAAACACGCAAACACACATCGAAGATCGCCAAAACATGCAAGACCTTAATGATGAAAGAATTGGTTTTTATATAGACGACCTCTTGTCGAAAATGCAAATGAGGTCATACGTGACCATATCGAACCCCAACCCACGAGATGATGATCGTATTGTTGATACACACAACATGGCCCAACTTGGTATACGCCATGCAGTTGACGAAAACGACAAACAGCCCGTTCTAGAAATGCTAATGAGGGTTCTACTTCGTTACTTCGCTAAGGATACCAGATACCTCACGTTTTTTAGAAGGAACACACGTCTCATTCCCCATGTGAATATGGTATTGAAGCATGTAGAACCTATCCCATTCAAGGGCAATACGTTCAAGATGCAAGCAATGGCTATTGCTATGTATGACACACTAGGTTATTGCTACACCCAAGACAACTTCTTCATAGATGCAGAAGAGAAGCTTCGTGAAAGCGTGGAGATGATCTACAAGACTCTCAATTTTTCAAGTGAAAAAGAATTCAATCAGGAAATATTAGTAGATGATGAGGTTAGAGGGGCCGATGGGAAAGAAGATGTCAAGAAAGTTGCAATGGCAAAGGCGAAGGACATATACAACAGTCTTCAGAAGCGTGGTCGCTATTTAGTAGAGCATCTCGTAATCGACCGAGTTTTGAATACAGCTGATGTGGAAATAATGAGGTCTAAGGTAGGAGAAGGAGAGTTACCAGTGTTCCTTCCCCAGCGTGCTACTAATAAGGAGATATACGAAAAGCTAGTAAAATTAAAGCTTGCAATTCCTGAAGTTGATATGAACGCTATATACCTGGCAGAGTTATACGCATCCGTCTTCTATAGTTATGGTCGGATGTACTTTTATAAGGAGGAACGTCCTAACACGGATATCTATATGTCCAGTATAAGGCTTGCGTATGAGTTGTGTCAAATCATCGAGAAGGAAAAGAAGTATGTCGTTTTCCACAGTATACTTTCCCAGCGAAACGGTCTGATGTATCTCTATTCTGAAGACAAGGACGAATTTGGAGATGAGAAATCTGACGAAAAAAAGCTATCAGATTTATACGAAGGAAAGAAGGAGTACAGAAAACTGCTAAAACGTACAATCAAAGAGGATTGGTACCAACACGGAATTCTCAAGGTCACCAAGAATGATTCCTTTCACAAGTGCATATGTTTGGAAAAGTGCATATTTATCTGCACAAAAATATTGAAATTGTGCACTAGGTTTGAGGATGAAGAAGAAATAAGACAAGAAATAATAGAGGAAGGCAAAAACACGATAGAGGAGCTAATGAAGGTAATTAGACAGGAAGAAACAGAGTCCAAGCTGCATAAAGGATCAAACTTTTACGCTGTCGCTGCGAAGTTCTATGAACAAGCTGAGTATTGGGATGATGCCTCCAACGTGTACAAAGAAGCAATTAAACAATGCAAGGTAAGATCAATCAATTAACCGAGTGATATTGCCCTGGCTTACGGAGAGTGAACAATTTTATCAGTCCTTCGTAAAATCAAACTATTTTTCAGAAATCCGACAGTGGTGATGTTGAGTGGAAGCAATATCGTAAATGGTGCCTGGGTTTAATGCGTGTTGCAAAACAAAAAGATACAAAGGACGCTGTATCTGAAGCAAAGGAAGTTGTTGAGGATTTCCGCAAGAATGCCCCGATGGAAGAAGCCGATCGACTGGATGAGGAATTAAATGCACTATTGGTAAATCTGTCCTGATTACCATATTCTTTTTTATATTCTTATTTCCTCCGAATTTCAATGATACAGGCCGGTCAATACATTTTGATTTGATTGGACAGTTTATCATTTTACCTGTTGCCAATAAACTAATGTTACGATTAGGATTATCATGTCATTTATCAACAATTAGAAACCGTGAGTAATTTATAATTGCTCCAAATGCCAAGTGTGAAACGGCGTGTTTTACTATCGCATTCATTCTTGTGTTTTCAGGGAGGGGAGGGTTGCTGATTTTACCTATTAACGTGTTCTCTAGCATGCTTGTATAGTCGGATGATGAAAGAGATCATGAAGACATTTTAGGCCGGACTTCTACCCCTTCTATGGACCAATGACTGACATGTACCTATATGTACGTGCAATATACATGCACATGTATCATAGGCGTAGCCGGGGGATACTATAAGTTATTCAATGATTCGAGTGAAATACAGAAAATATTCTGCCCGAGAAGGTCTGTATTCCACGAGGCGCTTGCAACTTTTTGGCGATCTGTCATGATAAAAGGCCAATGAAATGAAAAATCACGAGTTGGCACACTGACATTTGAAATTGTAATCTCCTACATCATTGTCGACTCATGTTTAAACGTCATGAAAACAAGGTTGAGCATTAAACATTGGCCAAGCTACTGGCTATTTGTTACTGTAAAATTGTGACTATCAGTCTGATGGTCATGGAATTTGGTAGGGTGGTGGAACAATGAATGATATACAAATGTGCGAAATAACAGGAAGTATTTTTTTAAATGACAAAGAAAAGAAAATTTGTATTTGTTTTGGTGTTTCGATGGCATTGAAATAATTTTAACAACGATGGAATATATTGGAATTTTTCTGGGAAGGTGCGAACGTCCTTCTTTCTGTTGTGTCAGTCTGGGTTAAAGTGTTACAATAGTATTAATAACGAGGAACCCTTCTAATAAAGGCAATTAAACCAAGGTTCGAAATCTCCCAAAAGTAACCCTAACACTATTTCATCATCAGCACGTCATAAACTCGACGATGTCATCGGATCTCAACAGATTTTACTCGTAATGTTCGGATTCTGAGATCCTTTACTCAAGATATTTTCGGATCTTTATTATTAGACTCCAGATGAAATCTGGAGTCTATTGTTTTCGTCAGTTTTCTTATTAGACTCCAGATGAAATCTGGAGTCTATTGTTTTCGTCAGTTTTCTTATTATTCTTTTTCTTCTTCTTATTATTATTATTCTAAGCAAGTTTTCTCAATAACCGTAAGGTTTTTTAGTAAAGTCAGTCATTTGGTCAATTTAGGTCCAGAATCTAGTTCCTCGGAAATTGGGTCAAATTTTTATCTAGGTCAAAGGTCAAGAACTAGGTCAAATCCAGTACTTTGTCACTTTTTTCGATTTTCGCGGTCGTCCTTCAATATTTTCGATCCGGGTTTTTTTCATTGTGTTCCTTGTAAAAAAGTAGAAAACCTAGGGTCGATTTAGTTTTTTGATATCTCAAACCGATTTCGAGATATCAGTGTCCGAAAACAAGGTCCAAAAAAAAGTTCTCCACATCAAATGTCCAGGATAGTAGTCTTATAGAAAATTTTCTCAGGATTCCGAATCTGAAAACTAAATTTGAATCAGACTTCCGGTTCGGAAGTTATGGCGTTTTGAAAGCTCAAAAATCGCTAAATTTGGTGCCCATGTAAAGTCAATGGGAAAAAATATTTTTTTGAAGTGAAAAATACGAAATATAGACTGAGTTCAGCTATATATAATGATAGCTTTTAAAAAAGTGGGACCTCAAAAGCCATCTAGCTTCAAAATTTGGACCCCAAAATGCCTAGGTCAAAATCTAGGTCAAATTCAAGGTTTTTCCTTATTTTTGCGATTCTGACACTACAGATTAATTATATTCTTCGAAATTTTGTATACATGTAGCCAAGAGTGTGCTAATAGTGTTAGCCTTTTGCCGTCAGAAAGTATTTTGCCCCACTTATGAGATATGGTGTCCGAAAAGTAGGTTAAAATAAAAAATTCTTCAAATTTAACGTTTGAGTTACGAATTAAGTATAGAATTTTCTCAGGAATCCGAATCTACAAACCAAATTTCGATCCGACTTCCGGTTCCGAAGTTATGCTGTGTCCGAAAAGTAGGTCAAATTAAAAATTCACCAAATTTAACGTATGAGTTATGAATTAGGGGTAGAATTTTGTCAGGAATCCGAATCTTTAAATCAAATTTATATCCGATTTCCGGTTTGGAAGTTATGGCGTTTTGAAATTTCGGAAAATCGATCTGATGGTATCCTGATAGAAAGTCAAGAGTAGAGAAGAAAATATTGAAAAAATTATCCATCCTTCCTATCTGATCTTACCTATCCTATCCTATCTTACCTATCCTATCCTTCCTATCTATCCTTCCTTCGTATCATTTCCTTCCTATCCTTCCTATCCTCTCCTATCATATCCTTTCTTCCTATTCTGTTCTATCCTATCCTTCTTTCTTATTCTATCCTATCTTTCCTTCTTATTCTATCCTATCTTTCCTTCCTATTTTATCCATCCATCTTTTTCTGGATGACTCAGCTTATTTTGGATGACTCGGCTTATTCTGGATGACTCGGCTAAAAAAGTCTAGATCTGGAGTCTGAAATTGAACTCGTTCAATTTCCAAAATCTAGTTATTCTTTTTCTTATTAGACTCCAGATTGAAAATCTGGAGTCTATTGTTTTCGTCAGTTTTCTTATTAGACTCCAGATTGAAAATCTGGAGTCTATTGCTTTTGCCAGTTTTATTATTAGACTCCAGATTTCATCTGGAGTCTATTGCTTTTGCCAGTTTTCTTATTAGACTCCAGATTGAAAATCTGGAGTCTATTGCTTTTGCCAGTTTTCTTATTATTATTATTCTCTCTTGTCACGTTTTCTCAGTAACTAGAAGACTTGGAGTAAATCTACTTACATGGTCAGTTAGGGTATGTGACCTAGTTTCTGGGAAATTAGGTCAAATTTTTATCTAGGTCAAAGGTCAAAATCTAGGTCAAATTATCATTTTGTCAATTATCTTTGTCATTTTTCGATATTTTTTCAAAATTTTTTTTTCAACGTGTAGCCGAGAAAAAGACGATTCGACTGTGAGTAATCAATTTTTTGATTACTTTTACCGATTTTGAGATATTGCGTCCGGAAAGTAGGTCAAACGAAAAAGTTCTCCGAATTCAACGTATGAGTTATGAAATAAGTGTAAAATTTCCTCAGGAATCCAAATCTGCAAACAAAATTATAATCTGACTTCCGGTTCGGAAGCTATAGCGTTTTGAAATTGCTAAATTTGGTGCCCATGTAAAGCCAATGGGAAAAAAGACTTTTTCGAAGTGTAAAATACAAGATATAGACTGAGCACAGCTTAACATAATGAATGTCCATAAAAGAAGGGGACCTCAAAAGCTACATAGCTTCAAAATTTGGACACCAAAATGCCTAGGTCAAAATCTAGGTCAAATTCATAGTTTTTCCTTATTTTTGCGATTCTGGCACTACACTTTTAGGATTTGCTTCAAAATTTTGTATACAGGTAGCAAAGAGTGTGCTAATAGTGAGAGCCTTTTGCCGTCAGAAAGTATTTTGACCCACTTTTGAGATATGGTGTCTGTAAAGTAGGTCAAAATAAAAATTTCTCATAATTTAACTTATGAGTTATGAATTAAGGGTAGAATTTTCTCAGGAATCCGAATCTGCAAACCAAATTTCAATCCGACTTTTCGTTGGGAAGTTATGGCGTTTTGAAAGCTCAAAAATCGCTAATTTTGGTGCCCCATGTTATGTCAATGAGAAAAAAGATCTTTTTGAAGTGTAAAATACCAGATAAAGACTGAGTACAGCTTAAGATTCTGAAAGTCTATAAAAGAAGTGGACCTCGAAGGCTATCTAGCTTTAAAATTTGGACACCAAAATCCCTAGGTCAAAATCTAGGTCAAATACATAGTTTTTCCTTATTTTTGCGATTCTGGCACTACACTTTTAGGATTTGCTTCAAAATTTTGTATA